CGCTGTGCCATCGCTCCAGCCCCCTATAAATAGAGTTTTATTCATCCTCACCGGCACCCTCATCCACGCTGACCCTGTCCAGACACTCCAGGTTCCATGGAGACCAACTCGGCAGCACAGAGTTACAGAGGGAAGTTATAGAGAAGGGCAAGAGGGGCCCTGGGTCACAGGAAGAGGAGCTGCCCTGATTCCCCGCCAGGAAGCAGGAGTGTTTGGGGAGCAATGCAGGGCCCAGGAGCGTGTCATTCACGAGACTGCAGCTCTCCTGGGAAATCTTTCTCCACACACCCACACCCTCCCCATCCCCAGCCCCTGACTCTTGGCGAGGCCATTGCCAAGATGCCCGCGCCAGCCACAGGCCCTGCATCCTGTATCACGTCTGTGCGTGAGATCTCCACTCTCCACCACATGGGGAAACAAAGGTGCTCCCAGCATCTCCAGTGTGGTACAAGTCAAAGGTGTCCCATGGGGTTACATCAGCGTTCAGTGTTTGAACAGTGAGCATGGCATTGTTTTTAGCTGGTTTTCCAAATCCCCCCGAGATCTCCCCCCGCAGAGGAAGTGAGCTCTGAGCTCAGGGGGCAGCCAGGGGGAGACGTCCAGACAGGGAAAACGGAGAAAGACAAAGGTCTGCCAACCGTTATAATAATGAGCGTCACAGAGAGGGGTGGGGGGCAGAAAAGTGGCTGCCATGGAGACAGGCTGGCAGGAATTGGTGGGAGAAAAATTGGGGACATTGGTGGTGGGAAATGTACAGTGGTGAAGGGACAGGTGTTGGAACATTGAATGACTGAAACCTAATCATGGACAACTCTGTAACTGTGTATCTCATGGTGAATCAATTTTAAAAAATCAAAAATTTTAAGACTTAAAAAAATAAATTCGGGGGGGCTGGAGCGATAGCACAGCAGGTAGGGCGTTTGCCTTGCACGCAGCCAACATGGATGACACAGGTTCGATTCCCAGCATCCCATAGGGTCCCCCGAGCACCGCCAGGAGCGATTCCTGAGTGCATGAGCCAGGAGTAACCCCTGAGCATTACCGGGTGTGACCCAAAAAGAAAAAAAAAAGGAAAAAAAATAAATAAATTCGGGCTGGAGCGATAGTACAGCGGGTAGGGTGTTTGCCTTGCACACGGCCGACCCGGGTTCGATTCCCAGCATCCCATAGGGTCCCCTGAGCACTGCTAGGGGTAATTCCTGAGTGCGTGAGCCAGGAGTAACCCCTGTGCATTGCCAGGTGTGACCCAAAAAGCAAAATAAGTAAATAAATAAATAAAAGGAACTTCAAAGGGACCCCCAGGGCAGTCCTCAGAGATGACCATGGCCCTAATCATAATTTTACCGAAACTCTCCAGAAACCTGCAGGCAGAAGAGCCGAGTTTACCTACACCCGGATTCACACAGAATCTTGAGATATCAAATGTTTGTGGTCTGGAACTGTTAAATTTGGGGGGTCATTTGTTACACAGCAGTTGACAAATGATACACTTCTACCTTAACTCCGAGAATTCAAACTCCATTATTTCTTTCTTTGCTTTTTCTTTTTTATATTTTGGTTTTGGCATCACACCAGCAATGTTCAGGAATCACTCCTGGCTCAGCACTTAGTAATTACTCCTGGTGGTGTTCAAGGGACCATGATGGAACCCAGGTCAGTCAACGTGCAAGGCAAACACCATTTCCCCTGCACTATTGCTTGAGCTCAAACCCAACTATTTCTAACACTTAGAATGTCAGTTCCTCAAGGACGACAAAGAAACTCCAGTGTGCTCTTTGACTCATTAGCAGAGTGAAAATACAACCTCTTCTAGAACCTTCTCATCAGACACTCTTTCACCGGTCACCATATTGAGAGGTACAGGGAGGGCAAATAACACAGCCCCACTGCCAGGTCACTCATGTCAATGAATTCATGTCACCCCTGTAAGAAACTTGCCGGTGTCTTATAGGGACATGTGACTGGGAGGTAACAGATGACTAAATTCCAAAACTAGAAAATTAATGGCGGGGGTGGTGTCTGATGATTTGAGAGCACAGAACAAGAGTTAGTGGCTTTGCTGGCAAAACTTCAAACCACTTAGTGCTCTGTGGAGTTGGAAATGGGTATCTTCCCATCAAGGCATTACAAAAATGTCTTGCATCCTTCGCAGAGCAAAATTTTTAATAATTAAAATTAAAAAGATTTCATTTGAAAGGTCAGGGCTTATATTGTCTCCTTAGACCAAACATTCCATTATGTACACAGTGACTACTCAAATAATTGTGCAGCTGAAGAGATGGGTAGATGATAGATATGTGAATGGATGGGTGGGTGGGTGGGTCCATGGATGGGTGGGTGGGTGCATGGATGGATGGATGGAAGACGAATGAACATATGAAGGATTTGATGGATGACTAATCTGCTGGGTGAGTATCAGACTCACCCTATAGAAAACAGTTATTAAAAGTCTTTATCTGGGAGTTGATCTGACAAATGTTAATAAGTTGAATTCCTAACGCCACCCACTTAGACTCATAGATATTTTGCCATAATGTTCATTATTGAAAGAATAAAACTTTATTCGCAGTTCAATTGTAGACATCTTGTGTCTTTCAAAGGGCAGCTCGGGTCTTTCACGGGCTGTGATTATGTTCCACTGGAGCACAGCCATACTCACAGGAGCCAGCATTTGCCTCTGCGCTTCCTTCCAGAATTGCATAGAAGGGAAACCTGAGTTTATCTGGTGTTCCAGCCCCAGGTGAATAACTGACCCAGCCTACTGGCCACTCTCCATCTAGCTCAGCACCAGGCAAGGTGCCAGGTGTCTGTAAATTCAAGATGACCCAAGTTCACCTCTGCCAATCCACCAAAACCAATTGTCTTTGAGGGTCAATAGGACCCTGTCACCTGGCCGCTGGCTTTCCAGCATTTTGTCGCACCTACACACATGGAAACACACACACGATGAGTGTCCAGTATAGAAAGTGAAACAGATCTGGTCTTGACTCTGCACTCAGGAATTACTCCTGGTGGTGCTCAGGGGACCATATGGGATGCTGGGAATCGAACCCAGGTTGGTCATGTGCAAAGAAAACACCCTAAAAGCTGTGTTATCGCTCCAGCCCCGGATCTGGTCTTTAAGGTTGGGGCTGCTTTGGGTTCACGAAGTTTCAGCAAAGATCCTTTGACAAAGGATAGGTCAAAAACTAAGAGCGAATTTGATCTCCCATTTGACCCAGCTATAGCACTCCTGGGAATATATCCCAGAGAGACAAAAAGGTATAGTCGAAGTGACATCTGCAATTGTTTGTTCATTGCAGCACTCTTTACAATGGCCAGAATCTGGAAAAAACCTGAGTGCCTGAGAACAGATGACTGATTAAAGAAACTTTGGTACATTTACACAATGGAGTACTATGCAGCTGTTAGGAAAGATGAAGTTTTGAAATTTACATACAAGTGGTACTACATGGAAAGTATCATGTTAAGCGAAATGAGTCAGAAAGAGCGGGATAGATACAGAAAGATTGCATTCATCTGGGGAACATAAAGCAACAAAACGAGAGACTAACACCCAGGAATGGCTGAGATTAGTACCAGGAATTTTGCTCCATGACTTGAAGGCCAGCCACATGTGCTAGGTGAAAAGGAAGCTCAGATAGAGAAGAGAGCACCAAATAAAAGGCGTTGTAAGACCCTCCCAAGGTGGGAGAAGCATGCTGAAAGTAGACTATAGACCAAACATGATTGCCACTCAAGGCCTCTCTTGCAAAACACAGTACCCAAAGGAAGAGAGAGAGAACAAGGGGGGAATGCCCTGCCACAGAGGCAGGGTGGGACAGGGGGGATGGGGGGTGGGAGGGATGCTGGGACCCGTGCTGGTGGAGGATGGGCACTGGTGGAGGGATGGGTACTTGATCATTGGATAACTGAAACCCAAGCACAAAAGTTTATAAGTCTATAACTGTACCTCATGGTGTTTCACTAATAAAAAAAAAAAACTAAGAGCGAGAGGCAAGGGAAGGATCAATGTAGAAAACCGGAAGTTGAGGGATCAAGTTCGGTCTCTTGTTTCTTAGCAGCTGTGTGCCTCTGGGCAAGTTATTTCACCTCTCTGTGGGTCTACTTGCTCTTTTGTAAAATAAGATTATTCTTAACCTCCCTCGGAGGTTGATGTGTATGTAAATGCCTAACCTAGTGCTCAACATAAAGGCATCATCAAAGAACTCAAAGGTGGGCCGGAGAGATAGTACAGCAGGTAGGGCTTTTGCCTTGTACCCGGCTGGCCCCTGGTTCAATCCCTGGCATCCCATGTGGTTTCCCAAGCCCCATCAGGAGTAATTCCTGAGCGCAGAGTCAGGAGTGACTCCTGAGCACCACTGGGTGTAGCCCCCAAAACAAAACAAAATAAAAAAAGAATACAAAAAAAAATCAAAGAACCTCAAAGGAGACAGTCCCTAGCTAAGGCAGAGGGAGCTTCCAAGAGACAAAGTTTGCAGTAAACAGACTGTAGTGGAGGCCAAACAGAGAGAAAAGTAAAGGGCAAAGATTAAAAAGCAGCTTCCCTGAAGCCGACTTCCCAGGACTAAAACAGGGTAAGAGGAAGTCTTCTGGTGGCCTGACTTTTTCCTACCTCTTGGAGCAGGCCCAAATCTTCAGATCAGACATTCCAGAAAACTTCAGGGCATGCTCACTTCAAGCTTCAAGAATTACCCAACCCTCCTTCCGGAGCTTTCCAAATAATTGACATTGTCTTTGTTGAGTCAACCATGACCTGACAGTCTTACAGGTCATTCCGTGTTAATCCTTTGCGCAAACAGGCCAGGAGAAAAAAAAGACAAAAAGCCCTTCACCCAGGTCCCTTCTCCCCTTTCTGCTAAGGCAGGGGACCCCATCCCCCACATCACCATCCAGACCTGCAGGAGGTTAGCTCAGCCAACCCCGTCCTCCCTGCACCTGGGGAAAGGAGGCCTCTACATACACAGGGAGGGAGGGCCAAGAGCGAGCGGAGGGCCTACCTGGGCATTCTTCATTGCTGCACACCCACAGGCTGTTCCGACAGATGCTGTGAGGGAGAGAAGCACAGGTCAGGGGTGCCTACAAGCACAAGAGTCCATAAAAGGACTGAGCACTCACCACAGAGTTTCCCAACGGGAGAATAAACAGCACTGATGCTGGGGCATGAATTGAGGGTGGTGAGGTGGCCATGTGTATTATTTTTAATTTTTTGCTTTTGGGGTCACACCTGGCGATGCTCAGGGGTTACTCCTGGCTCTACACTCAGGAATGACTCCTGGCGATCCTCAGGGGAAACTATGGGATGCTGGGAATCGAACCCGGGTCGGCCACATGCAAGGCAAACGCCCTACCTGCTGTACTATCGCTCCAGCCCTCACGTGTATTATGTTGAGGAGTGTTTGGGTGATACCCAGGGGATACTCTGGGGTCTGTGTCTTGGAGTCACTCCTGGAAGTGACTCAGGGGACCAGGTGATCCTAGAAATCAAACTTGGGCCTCTGACATGCCAAACGTCTGCTCCAGCCCTTTGAGCTGTCTCGCAGGCTCCAGAAGGGTCTGTCAGAAGCTGGAGGTGTACAGGACCAGGCTTTGCTGCAAAGGAATCCTGAAACGCTGACAGAGAAAGCGAAGAGGAAAGAAAATCGAGGGGAGTCAACGTTCCTGAACATTTAATCCAGAGACTTAGCAGTCAACTCCCCACAAGGGCGAGAGTCCAGCGGGCAGGGTGCTTGCCTTGCATGTGGCCAACCCGGGTTGGAGACACAGCTCCACATAAAGTCCCTTAAGTCTATCAGGAGTGATCCCTGGGTGCTGAGTCATTTTACTAAGCACCACCGGGTGTAGCCCCAAGGACACAAAATTAACAAAATCCCTATGTGCACACACAAGTCAGCTCGTGGGAGAGGCCAAAGGAGAGATGTGGGAAACCCACATCTCAGGGCCAGGCTGGGAAACCCTAGCAGACTCCTTGAGGATCATCAGTGTGGAAAGAGAGAGAGGAAGCGGGTGGAGGAGGAAGGGGGTGCTGTCTTCCTGGGGTGCCGGTGGCAGTTAGCCAGGGGGCACCAAATATTGGAACTCAGTAGCTGCAGTCAGCTGCAGGACACCCAGGAGGGCCAGGGCAGAGCAGTGTCCTGTCCCCAAGGAGAGAGACAGTCTCCAGGAGAAATAGCATGTGACTCTGGAGACAGGTGTGCAAATCACAAACGGTACAAGGTTGTCATTGCGGACACTAAGTATCCCGACCTAACCATCTGGAGTGTGTCTCCTTCTTTCTTGACTGGGCCAATTTTATTTGCAGCTTGAGTTTTCATAGGAAGTTGCATTATCGTGGACTTGGTCGGCTTGTGCTATTTTCTCCAGATGTATTTGGTTTGGTATCTTTTTTGTTTTGTTTTATTTTTGCTTTTTGGGTCACACTCAGCGATGCTCAGGGGTTACTCCTGGCTCCGCACTCAGGAATTACACCTGGCTGTGCCTGGGGAACCCTATGGGATGCTGGGAATTGAACCCAGGTTGATCTCATGCAAGGGAAAGCCCTACCGGCTGTACTATCATTGATTGGTCTGTTCTTTCCTTGTACTTTGTTACATCTGGGATACAGTCTAACTCATCTGATTTAATATGCATTTTTTAAAATGCCATGACTATTAAACATCTTGTTTACAGACAGATGAAATAAATTTATCCCAACCAAAAAAGAAAAAAGAAACAACAACAAAATTGGGGGTGATGGTCACTCAGAGTCTCCTGCCCTCGCACCTGGCTGTCCTCGCCGGGGCCCCTTGGAAGGGAGCAGGTTGAGTTTCCCTCTCCGCCCCGACCAGGATTTCGGCAGCCGAAGACCTCCAGAACCAGCCACCACCATGCTGAGACCACTCTCTGCACACATGAAGGTACCGGCAGAGAAACAAAGGCATGCGGGTCCCGGGACTGAGATCCCCAAGCCTACCCAGATCAGGGCTGAGCATCCTCCCCCAAGGTCCTGCAAATTCCAGTAGATGGGGATCGCACCCACCAACTGGTCCCCTGGCAGCCGTGTAATCCCATCAATGGCCAAGACTCAGAGACTATAAAACCCAGCTCCCGGAAGCGTGCAGCCGCATTAGCAGTCACGCAACATTCTTATTATCTCATTCCTATTTTGGACACACTGGCAGGCTACCGAATGTAACCTGCCCACACGGCAGAGTCTGGCAAACTCCCCATGGCGTACCCAATATGCCAAATACCAGTAACAATGATGGGGCTCATTCTCCTAACTCTGAAAGAGCCTTGAATATGGCACTTTTTTAAAAATCTCAGGGCTAAGATGAAGGAGACGTTACTGAGGCCTGCTCGAGACAATCGACGAATAACAGGATGGTCGTGATCGGTCACTCAAAAAAGCAAAAGGAATGAGTAAGACTTAGAATAAAAGCCGAAAGCCCTGGCGTGATTCACACCCCAACAGCTGGCACCAGGCTAACAGCCAGACTCCACAGCCTCACAACCGAGAGAGACCTGCAGAGACGCCAAACCGCTGAAAACTTCAGGTACATCAGGTTTTTGACTGAAAACTCTGGGATCCTCTCGGAGTGGGGGGCAGACAGCCACACCCATAACAGCCACTGTATAAGCTCACTGCCCAGTTATATATCATGGAATCTTTGTTTTGTTGTTGTTGTTTGTTTGTTTGGCTTTTGGGTCACACCCGGCGATGCTCAGGGGTTAATCCTCTCTCTGTACTCAGGAATCACTCCTGGCGGTGCTCAGGGAACCGTATGGGTTGCTGGGTATCGAACCCAGGTCGACTGCATGCAAGGCAAATGGCCTACCCACTGTGCTATCACTCCAGCCCCATCCTGGAGTCTTTGGAACATGCAGGTGTATTTGTGACTGCAACATCTCCAAACTCTGCCATCCTGACATCCCAGTAGGAGCACAGCAAATTAGACGGGAAAGTGACATAAAAGCCAACTAAGTTCCGTGAACAAAAACACTTAACACAGAAGGCTCAGCCAGCAACAAGAGCTTAGGAATCCCTCAGACAAGAACTTCATGTCCCCCCCCACAGTGTGCTAATCACAATTTTTACAAATTTCCTTTTACTGAGGTAACTTTTGATGGTTCCATTAGCCATTTAGTTGTAACAAGCAATAATAAAATTCATTCTGGGGCTGGAGCATTAGGGCATTTGCCTTGCATGCGGCGGACCCGGGTTCGATTCCCAGCATCCCATAGGGTCCCCCAAGCACCGCCAGGAGTAATTCCTGAGTGCAGAGCCCGGAGCAACCATTGTGCATAACCAGGTATGACCCCAAAAGCAAAACAAACAAATAAAAATGACTTCTTTGGGGCTAAGAGAGCAGCTTTGGGGCGGGGTGGGGGTGGGATGGGTACAAGGATGGAGGGAAGGTGACAGCAGTGGTGGCGTTAGTGTTGGGATATTGAATGCCTGTAACAAATGCATCATGAACACCCTTGAAAACCATGACATTTAAACAAAGTGGGGAAATAAGGGCTGGAGCGATAGCACAGCGGGTAGGGCGTTTGCCTTGCAAGCGGCCAATATGGCCAACCCGAGTTCAATTCCTCTGCCCCTCTTGGAGAGCCTGGCAAGCTACCAAGAGTATCTCGCCCGCACGGCATATCCTGGCAAGCTCCCCGTGACATATTCGATATGCCAAACACAGTAACAAGTGTCACAATGGAGACGTTACTGGGCCCGCTTGAGCAAATCAATGAACAACGGGAGGATAGTGACAGTGACAGTGGCGAAATAAACCCTTAGAGGTGCTATTTGCAGGTCAGGGTCCTCCCAAGCTGATCACTCACCCTAGGCAGTTCTGTCACTATGGCCCATCATGGTCTTCCATACCCTTTCCCAAACCAGCTCTCCACCTGAAGAGCCCTCACCTAGGTACCTGAGGCTTCCCCCCACCTCCTCATCCCCCAGGCCCCAGGGAGGACTCCCGATTACCAGGTGTTGCAGTCCTGTGAGAGGGAGGAGCCGGGAGGGAACCTCTTCCCAGCATGCACACAGGAACACTCAGAGCTGTCCACACACTGGTCTGCATCCAGAAACTGCCCGTCTGCAACCAAAGGGCAACGAAGTCAAGACCTTTCTCTTTTGGGGTCACACCCGGTGTTGCACAGGGGTTACTCCTGGCTCTGCACTCAGGAATTACTCCTGGCGGTGCTTGGGGGACCACGTGGGATGCTGGGAATCAAACCCGGGTTGGGCGCATGCAAGGCAAATGCCCTACCCTCTGTGCTATTGCTCCAGCCCCATCAAGGCCTACTCTTGGCATCATCCCTCCTCCTCTTCCAATGCTAGAAGCTTCGGAGGCACTCAGCAATGCCGTGCTTCTTCCACAAATACCTACGACCTACCTACGACCTAGACCTGGGGTGCATGTCCGCCCCAGGTGAGAACAGGGCTGGTCCCCTTCTCCAGATGGAGAATCCTGGGGAAGCATTCTGTTCATTGCTTTTTTTTGCTTTTTTCTGGGGGGGGGGGGGCATGCCCAGCAATACTCAGGGGTTACTCCTGGCTCATGCACTCAGGAATTACTCCTGGTGGTTCTCAGGGGACCGTATGGGATGCTGGGAATTGAACCCGGGTTGGCCACATGCAAAGCATACGCTCTTCCCGCTGTGTTATCGCTCCAGCCCCATCGTCTGCTTTTCATTAGAAAATGTCATGAGTTTTGGTCAAGGGCTCCTTCCAGGAAACGCTAAGAAGCTTGTTGGCCTTGCACATGAATGCATATGGACTGGAGGGGAAGATTACTAACACCCAGCCTACAGAAACACAGAGGCCAGAGCATCCTCCAAGTCCTTCCGGGAAGGAAGTCAGGGGTTCAAATCCACAGGCTGGGATCTGGTTCATTGAACAGGGCTTGCCACATGAAAACCCCAAAATCTCTCCTGAGCAAGATGTTTGAGTTATAGGCTCTTTTCCCTGAGCTCAGATGGCCCAGCAAGAGTTAAAAGCAAAACAAAAACAAAACAAGGCGGCTGGAGCGATAGCACGGCAGGTAGGGCGTTCGCTTTGCACATGGCCGACCTGGGTTCGATTCCCAGCATCTCATATGGTCCCCTGAGCACTGCCAGGAGTAAAACCCTCTTCCCTGTCAGAAAGATGGTACAGGGTTAAGCCATTAGCCATGCATGTGGCCAAGTCTGGTTCGATCCTCAGCACTGCCTATGGTGTCCTGAGCACCACCAGGAGTGACCCCAGAGCACTAAGCCGGGAGGAAGCCCTGAGCACTGCCAGGTGAGGCCTGTGAACCAAAAACCCTCTTCTCCAAGACTGACTCCCTGACCAAACGGGAAAAGAAAACCATCAGACGGGACAGACTCCACCCCACTCCCTGGGCAGTGCAGGAACCCGGCCCAGCCCTCTGTCTCTTGGATGGATGCACGTGCTTTGGTGGATCCAGTACAACAGGAAAACGGAAATGAAAAACAAATGTCAGATCAGTGTGGACAAAGACCTGTAATAAAATAAATAAAAAGCCTCTGATTTATGCAACGGAAACCAAGACAAGGGGCCTGCATCCGGCTTCTCCCCCCCCCCCAAAAAAAGAGGGGGAGCTGGCAAGCTCTCGATTTAGTCCCTAATGCAAGGGCGGATTACCAGGGCAGCTGCAGCCGTCCACGCAGGCCTCGGAACACCCCTCCCGGATGTGCAAGCTCTGGCAGGTCCTGGCGCAAGGGGACACACACGCCTGGTACTCCATGCCCGCAGGGCACGCTGGACCTAAAATGGAAAAATTTGAGTCTCCCCAGGGCCAGTTCCCAAGTCAGGGCCTCTAGAAACCCTCTGTCTTCAAGACCCCCAGGGCCATCATCAGCCCCCACGGCCCCAAACTTCCTTCCAAGGTGCTTTTTTAAATTTCTTTTTTGGGTCACACCTGGTGATGCTCAGGGGTTACTCCTGGCTCTGCACTCAGGAATTACTCCTGGCAGTGCTCAGGAGACCATATGGGATGCTGGGAATCGAACCCAGGTTGGCCGTGTGCAAGGGAAACGCCCTACCTGCTGTGTTACTGCTCCAGCCCCCTAAAGTGCTATTATTGGAGCCCCTGGCTCCCACATCTGTCATCTTGGGAAAATCCTGGCCAAGAGTCATTCTTCCTCTGAGAGGTCTCCTACATGAAATTGGTCCCAGGCTTATCCCACCCAGCACCCAGCACGCGTGATCACCCATGCTTGCTCCCCTAGAACCAAGGCTTCTTGCTCACTGGACCCCACTCCAGAGGCCAAGACTGTCCCCTCCCCCCTTTTCTCTTGACCTTCTGGTCGGAAACTGGTGGAGTCTCAGAAGGAATGCCCAGCGGTGGAAATCCTAACAGAGTTAGAACCAGGGAGAACCCAGGGGACCCAATGTCTCTAAAAGTCACCCTGAGCCCGCTCGAGATGGGAGATGCGTGCTGAAAGTAGACTAAAGACTGAACATGATGGCCACTTAATAACTCTATTGCAAACCACAACACCCAAAAGGAGGAGAGAGAGAGAGTAAAAAGGAATGCCTGCCACAGAGGCGGGGTGGGGTGGAGGGGGCGGGGTGGGGGTGGTGGGAGGGATGCTGGGACCATTGGTGGTGGAAAATGGGCACTGGTAGAGGGATGGGTACCCGCTCCTTGTATGACTGAAACACAAGCACGAAAGTTTATAAGTCTGTAACCGTACCTCACGGTGATTCACTAATAAAAAATTTTTTTAAAAAAGTCTCCCTGACACTTAGATGCCAAATGTGGCAAGAGAGACCCAGGAGTCGCTGTCCCTCCTCATCTGTTTGTAGCAATTCACATTCCTTGCGTTGTCTCTGCACTGTCCCTTTTGCTTTCAGGTCTCCTGCCTTTCGCCTTTTGGGGTGATTCTAAACTTCTGGGGCCGAGCAAGGAGTGAAGGGTATATCCCTTCCTCTGAGGGGTCTCCTTCTACATGAACTTGGTTCCAGGCTTATCCCACCCAGCACCCAGCACGTTCGATCCATCAACCATGCTTGCTCTCCTAGCACCTAGGCTTCGTGCCCACTAGACCCCACTTCCAGGGGCCAAGACTGTCCCCCACCCCATTCTCTCTTGATCTTGTGGTTGACGGATGGGCAAAAACCATCTGACAGATGGGCGCCGGCACTACTTTCCAGGCTTTGCCACACCAAGTCACAAGCCCAGTGCCCTTCTCTTTCAAGATACCCCAGTTAATCACTCCACCCTACCTTCAAAGATCTTTCTTTTTAAAAGGGATCTACCTTATTAGCAGAGGAGAAAACATCTGCTAATAGGCACCTTTCTCACACCCCCACAGCCAAGATAAAAGCTCTAATTTATAAGCAGAAGCAACACAAAATGAAAAGTGTGTGTGTGTGTGTGTGTGTGTGTGTGTGTGTGTGTGATGTAAATATCTGGCCTGCCCTCACCTCTGTCTGAATAATCTCCTAATGATCACTGCCCCTGGGGCTGGCTATCTGTACATCTTAGATGAGTGAAAAGTAGGGAGAGAGAAACCTTCTTAGGAGGTGACCCAAGATGCCCCTCTTCAATCACCATCATTTGGGGATGGTGACAAGGACCTAGGGACACCATGGGATTAAGAGATGATAAACATGGTGCTCCAAGGCGGGATGGAAGGGAGAACGAGCAAGGCACCCGGGGGAGAGGAGACAAGTTTGTTTCATCAACCGGGAGATTTCATCAAAGCTGGTTCCTCCAAGATCACAGCCCCCTCCCCCAACCCCACCCCCGCCTCGCCTGGCGCTGTCCGCCTCCCCCACAACAACAGGGCTCAAGTTCTGCTCCCTGTGCCTGCAGAGAGGCGACATTAACCAAAATTGACTGGACCACTGAACATGGCTGGAGGTAGAGAAGGATTTGGCCTTCCAGAGGGAGCGTGGGGAATCTCAGGAGGCTTGGAGTGAGCCAAGGAACGAGCATGCGGCGGGAGTAAAGGTGTAGTGGGGGTTGGGGAGGGAGGGAAGTTATGAGCGCCAAGGGTGGCATGGCATGAACCAGGGAAGATGGAGCATGAGCTGAGGGAAGCGTGGCACAAGCCAAGGGGACGTGGCCTGAACCAAGGAGGTGTGGCATAAAAGGGGCGTGGCCTGAACCAAAGAGGTGTGGCCTGAACCAAGGGGGCGTGGCATAAACAAGGAGGTGTGGCATAAACTAAGGGGGCGTGGCATAAACAGAGGAGGTGTGGCATATAAACTAAGGGGGCGTGGCATGAATAAAAGGATGTGGCATAAACTAAGGGGGCGTGGCATAAACAGAGGAGGTGTGACATAAACTAAGGGCGTGGCATAAACAGAGGAGGTGTGGCATAAGCAAGGGGGCGTGGCATAAACAGAGGAGGTGTGACATAAACTAAGGGGGCGTGGCATGAACAGAGGAGGTGTGGCATGAATAGAGGAGGTGGAGCTTGAACGAAGGGGGCGTGGCATGAGCAGAGGTGGTGTGGCATGAACCAAAGAGGCGTGGCGTGAGCCAAGGGAGCCGTGAGCCGAGGTTGGCATGAGCCGAGGGAGGCTTGGTATACAGGCAGACCTGGGAACCAACTCTGGGAAGCCTTTCAAACCTCAGCACTCTGACCAGGTGGCCGAGGCGGAAACAGGGCAGGAACTGGACAAGGACACGTGGTGACTTTTGGCTGATCCTGAATCACTGCGTGGCTGGGCACAGCTCCCAACGCTTCCTAAGTGCCACGCCAGCACCACCACCTCCCACCCCCCTCCCATCCCCATAGCACCTCCCAGCAGGGGAGAAGCCAGCGTTGACTCACGGCACCCGCTGGGGTCAGTCCAGCCGTACAGCACCAGGCCCTGCTGGGCACACGCCCGGGCGTACTCCTGCAGGGCAGCACACGGGCACCCGGGCTCCTGGCCGCACGCGCACAGAGAACTTTCGCACAGGGCCACGAAGGGCTCGGGGTCCACCAGTGGGTGGCAGCGGGCGAACACCGAGGCGCTCTTCAGCAGCTGGCACCTCTCCCACAGGTCCTGCGGGGACAAGTTGGGGTGAGGGTGGCACCGTGGGACAGACTCCAACTCCGACAGACTCGTGAGCGTTTGTCTGAGTTTTTTTTCTTTTCTTTTTTTTTCTTTTTGGGACACCCAGCGATGCACAGGGGTTACTCCTGACTCTGCACTCAGGAATTACTCTTGGCAGTACTCGGGGAATCCTATGAGATGCTGGGAATCGAACCTGGGTCCGCCACGTGCAAGACAAACACCCAACCCGCTGTGCTATCGCCCCAGCCCCTGTGTGAGTTTCTTAAGCAGACCCAGGAATCCTGGGCCCCTCCCCCACACGGGGACAGTGCCTGGCGGCAGTGTAGGTGAAGATGAAATATTTGTCCAATGAAACAGGGGGCCCAGTCTAACCCCAGCGCCGTCCACCCTCCACAGGAGCCCGGGCAACGCCAGGACCCAGCTGTGGGCCCAGGAACCCCCTGACTTTCCTTCAGAGCTGCCCAGCCTGCACTCGCTGCCTTCAAACAGCATCATGGTGGTTTCCAGATTTCTTGGTCGCAGCGGACCCTGGGGGCACCCAGCCTGGCCCTGGCAGGCTCACTGAGCCTTGGGAAAGCAGTGGTCCATGGCAGGGCCTGCTGAGCTGAGGTCACGGAAGACGAGAGGTCACAGGCTGCTCTGCGTGAGTGTGTGCGTGAGTTCCGCTCTGCGCACCCAGCCACTGGCCTGTCTTACCCGCTGCGCAGAGGAGACCGGCCACAGACCTCACCAACTCTGCCTTTTGCAGGTATCGAGATAAGCCGCCTCCCCTCAGGAGAGAAGGTCGTTCTGCAAGGGCCTGAGTGAGCTTACAGTGGGGAGGATGCTTGCCTCATTCAACAACCGACTTGGGTTTGATTCCCAGCACCCCTACAGTGTGCTGGGCCCACCAAGAGTGATTCCTGAGTGCAGAGCCAGGTTTTTTATTTGGTTTTGTTTGGGAGGTGGGGCGGGGGACGTTTGAGGGGCCAGTGATGCTCAGGGGTGTTACTCCTGACTCTGCACTCGGGAATTATTCCTGGCAGAGCTCAGGATCAAACTTGGATCAGTCATATGCCAAGCAAGCACCCTACTGTGCTCTCTCTGCCACCCTGAACACATCTGGTGCACCCCTCTTCCAACACACACACACACACACACACACACACACACACACACACACACCCTGAAGTAATACTATCCAGGTGCCCAGAAAGCAGAGGGCAAACCCAACCTACTGCCCCAGGGTCCTGGGAACACAGAGTCGGGGGGTGGGGGTGGGGGTGTAGGATGCACCCTTCCATGTGTACTGGTAGCCCAGGGGCTGCGGTTTCTGAAGACTGTCCAGGGAGAGAGGTCAGGCAGGCAGCCCCCGCTCCAAGCTCTGCCTCTTTTCCTGAGGTAGACTTCGGTCAACCACTGCCTTCTGAGAAAAACAGAAAACACCTTCCTGGAAATCTGCCTTGTTGAAGTAAACAGAAAGTGTGCCCCAACTACATCCGAGGTTCCTACCTGCACCCACCCCCCACCCCCCCACCCCCCCCCCCGCCAATCCTCCGGGAGGAGTATCATCCACTTTGGGAAAGGCTGTCTCCACGTCTCCACTCCGGGCCTTGGGCTGATGCCTGCCCTTCAGCCCAAGGAAACCCGATGGGAACCCGAGTTAGTGCCAACACTGAGTCAGTGCCAAAAACTGAGCATCAGCGAGATTGAACGGAAGGTCTCACGTGAGAATCATCCCCACCACTACAAACAGCACCATCACCGCCCCCCCTCCTTCTGGCCAGAGCCATCCAAGTCAGCCCTCCTGCCATGAGGATTCTCTCAGGCTGAGCACGACCACCACTCAGAGTCACCTCCACTCACGTTCATTGCCCTGGGTTGAACCTCTTCTGGTTTTGTTTTTTATTTTTTGGGTCACATCCGGTGATGTACAGGGCTTACTCCTGGCTCATGCACTCCTGGCGGTGCTCAGGGGACCACATGGGACGCTGAGAATCGAACCTGGGTCGGCCGCATGCAAGGCAAACACCCTCCCCGCTGTGCTATTGCTCCAGCCCCTGGGCCGGACCTCTGGTATAGTCGCCACGAACAGAGAGACCACTTTTGTTCCTCATTTCGTTGGGCCATGACCTTCCTCGGGACCAAGCGGGGGTTCGTTCTGGTGTTGTCAGGGTTTCCTGAGGCCCAGGAGAAGATGCAGCAGTCTGTGTCCCCACCCAGTGAGGGGACCGGGCTCCAAAAGGCCCTCTCAGGCCCCTCAAGAAGAGCAGAGAGGGACTGGAGCGACAGCGGGTAGGGCGTTTGCCTTGCACGCAGCCAACATGGCCAACACAGGTTCGATTCCCAGCACCCCATATGGTCCCCTGAGCACCGCCAGGAGCAATTCCTGAGTGCATGAGCCAGGAGTAACCCCTGAGCATCGCTGGATGTGACCCCAAAAGAAAAAAAAAAGAGCAGAGAACTGCCTCCCTGCCTACCCAAGGAAAATCTTCAAACAGCAGCTCCACAGTTTCACTAGAGGTTCCCGCCACGGGGTGGGGGTGTGGGTAGGTGGGCTGGAGGAGAGTGACACGCGTCGGCACCTGTACCCCAAGATTGACTCCCACTCCCCGGGGCCGGATGCCTCATGTGCAGGATCAGGAACCTCTCAGCAGCTGGGCGCGTTGGCAGGAGAGTCGGGCACTTCCGCCCCCACCCCACCACCCCACCCCCTGGCGTGAGTTCATTGCTTTTCCCCCCTCACAGAAAAAGCAGGGGTGATGTTCCCAGCCCATTTCCTCAGCAAATCCCTGGAGGGAGTAAATGGTTTCTAGAGAGCCTCTGCAAGAAAGGTGCTTCCTAAGCAGGGCCTGCAGAGGGAGTGGAATCCTGCAGATGGGGCCGCCCCGGGCGGGCGGCTCAGGGCTTCCTCCTGGTGCTTGCTGCAGCCTCACTCCAGAGGGTGCTTGCGGGAGCATAAGCAGGGCCGGGTCTGGAACCCGCGCCAGCCCAAACCCCCATGCTCTCGCTCTCTCTCTCTCTCTCTCCCTCTCTCCCTCTCTTTCTCCCTCTCACCTCTCTCACTCTCTCTCTCCTCTCCTCTCTCTCATCTCTCCTCTCCTCTTTGCTTCTCTGTCTCTCTCTGTCTTTCTCTGTCTCTGTCTCTCTCTTTCTCTGTCTCTCTCTGTCTCTGTCTTTCTCTGTCTCTGCCTCTCTCTCTGTCTCTCTCCTCTCCTCTCTTTGTCTCTGTCTTTCTCGGTCTCTGTCTCTCTTTGTCTCTGTCTCTCTCTGTCTTTCTCTGTCTCTCTTTGTCTTTGTCTCTCTCTGTCTTTCTGTCTCTGTCTCTCTCCCCTCTCTATCTGTCTCCTTTCTCAGTCTCTGTCTCTGTCTCTCTGTCTCTGTCTCTGTCTATCTGTATCTTTCTCCCTCTCTATCTCTCTCTTTCTTTCTCTCTCTCACTCTCTCCTCAACTCTTTCTCTCTCTTGTCTCTCATCTCTCCTCTCCTCTCTCTGTTTCTCTGTCTCTCTTTCTCTGTCTCTGCCTCTCTCTGTCTCTCTCTGTCTCTCTCCGCTCCTCTCCTCTCTCTGTCTTTCTCTGTCTCTGTCTCTATTTGTCTCTCTGTCTTTCTCTGTCTCTGTCTCTCTCCCCTCTCTATCTGTCTCTCTCTGTATCTGTCTCTCCCTCCTCTCCTTTGTCTCTGTCTCTCTCCTCTCTGTCTCTGTCTTTCTCTGTCTCTCTGTCTCCTCTGTCTTTGTCTGTCTGTCTGTCTGTCTGTCTGTCTGTCTGTCTGTCTGCTCTCTCTCTCTCTCTCTCTCTCTCTCTCTCTCTCTCTCTCTCTCCTGGCCCTGGTCTTTCTCAGCAGAGACTAAACAAACAGGGTGTCATTCCCTTGCCCCTAGTCTTCCTGCGGTCAGCCTTGGCCTGAGATTGGCCTGCTAGAGTGACAGGTCAGATTAGCCACCCAGCCTGGGCTGCCCACGGCCTGGAGGGCAACTGCGATGTGGTCAAGTCTCAGCAGAGGCAAATCAACAAAGCGTCCCTGAGTGGGCCAAGTTCTGGCTCCTCTGGATGGTGGCCAGGCCAGGCCAGCCAGGGTGAGGGCCCGCTGGGCCTCTCCGCCTCGTCTCGCCTCAGCCTCCATCTCCCCAACTCGGGACAGCTTCCTGAGGATTCCCGAACCTTCCTTCCACCCTCCCATCATTTCCGGCGCAGAGCTGAGGCTCAGAGCCAAGAGTACGGCTGTGGCGCAAAGCAGACCGAGAGGTGGCACCGCAGGTAGGGTGCTTGTCTGGCACATAAAAGACTTGGATTCCAGCCCCCGCACCTCCGAGGCTCCCCCGAGCCCCGCCAGCAGGGATCCCTGAGCACAGAGTCAGGAGTCATCCTTGAGCACAGATTCAGAAGTCAACCCTGAGCACAAATAGGTGTGACCCCCCCCCCCCCACAAAATTTTTAAAGATTTAAAAACTAGAGGCTGGCGCAATAGCACAGCGGGTAGGGCATTTGCCTTGCACACGGCCAGCCCGGGTTCGATCCCCAGCATCCCATATGGTCCCCCGAACACTGCCAGGAGTAATTCCTGAGTGCAGAGCCAGGAGTAACCCTTGTGCGTCGCTGGGTGTGACCCACCTTCCCAAAAAAGGGTAAAGGTAAAGGTAAAGGCCCTCCCGTTGATCGTCGATTTGCTCGAGCGGGCCCAGTAACGTCTCCATTGGAGACTTTGTTGTTACTGTGTCTGGCATATCGAATACTCTCGGTAGCTTGCCAGGCTCTCCGAGAGGGGCGGAGGAATCGAACTCGGGTTGGCCATGTTGGCCGCTTGTAAGGCGAACGCCCTACCCGCTGTGCTATCGCTCCAGCAAAAAAAGAAATTTAAAACCTAGGGGCTGGCGCAATAACACAGCGGGTAGGGCATTTGCGTTGTACGCGGTCAACCCGGGTTCGATTCCCAGCACCCCATAGGGTCGTCTGAGCACTGCCAGGAGTATTTCCTGATTGCAGAGGCAAGAGTAACCCCTATGCATCA